GCCGACTGAGAACGGACTGTTGATTATGGTTGTCTCTTTCTTTCACTGAGCCATTGATTTCGCCGACTGAGAAAGGATTGTTGATTATGGTTGTCTCTTTCTTTCTTTTACTGAGCCACAGATTTTACCGACTGAGAACGGACTGTTGATTATGGCTGTCTCTTTCTTACTTTCACTGAGCCACAGATTTCGCCGACTGAGAACGGACTATTGATTATCGTTCTCTCTTTCTTTCTTTTACTGAGCCACAGATTTCACCGACTGTTCATTTCTTTTTTCATTGAGCCACAGATTTCACCGACTGAGAACGGACTGTTGATTATGGTTGGCTCTCTCATTCACTGAGCCACAGATTTTACCGACTGAGAACGGACTGTTGATTATGGCTGTCTCTTTCTTTCTTTCACTGAGCCACAGATTTCGCCGACTGAGAACGGACTGTTGATTATCGTTCTCTCTTTCTTTCTTTCACTGAGCCACAGATTTCACCGACTGTTCATTTCTTTTTTCATTGAGCCACAGATTTCACCTACTGAGAACGGACTGTTGATTATGGTTGTCTCTCTCATTCACTGAGCCACAGATTTTACCGACTGAGAACGGACTGTTGATTATGGCTGTCTCTTTCTTTCTTTCACTGAGCCACAGATTTCGCCGACTGAGAACGGACTGTTGATTATCGTTCTCTCTTTCTTTCTTTCACTGAGCCACAGATTTCACCGACTGTTCATTTCTTTTTTCATTGAGCCACAGATTTCACCTACTGAGAACGGACTGTTGATTATGGTTGTCTCTCTCATTCACTGAGCCACAGATTTTACCGACTGAGAACGGACTGTTGATTATGGCTGTCTCTTTCTTTCTTTCACTGAGCCACAGATTTCGCCGACTGAGAACGGACTGTTGATTATCGTTCTCTCTTTCTTTCTTTCACTGAGCCACAGATTTCACCGACTGTTCATTTCTTTTTTCATTGAGCCACAGATTTCACCGACTGAGAACGGACTGTTGATTATGGTTGTCTCTCTCATTCACTGAGCCACAGATTTTACCGACTGAGAACGGACTGTTGATTATGGTTGTCTCTTTTTTTCTTTCTTTCACTGAGCCACAGATTTCACCGACTGAGAACGGATTGTTGATTATGGCTGTCTCTTTCTTTCTTTCACTGAGCCACAGATTTCACCGACTGTTCATTTCTTTATTCTCTGAGCCTCAGTAGCTCTATGTAATTACAACAGGAGATGATTGATATGTTGTGGTATGATTTTAATCAAAGCAAAATTAATAACGCCGCTATTATCGATTTCTCTGACCTTTGAATTTCCTTTACTGATCTTAAAGAGAACGAAAAAGGACAACTTTTTATTGCGCCATCAGATTTTCATGCTCATGTCTGGTATTGAAATAGCAGAATAATTTAGTCAGATTATGACGTCACTGTCGTAAATACCATTTGCTTTTTTTTCATTAATTGATTCATTTCATTTTTTGAATGTCCTAATCTTATTTTTTACGGGATGATTCCACTACTCCTTTGCTCCTGAGCTAAGAATTGATGGAAATCAGGCGGTGGCTACCAATCTGGAAGTCTGGAGTACGAGCATCCTGACGTAAAACTCTTTTTCAATTCATTTTAAGCTAGACGAACGATTGGCGATTGGGAAAAATACATATACCTTAACATTGGCAATGTTAAGTTCGATAGGGTTAGCAACTTTGTATTTTTCCACCAAGTTGCCTCTTTAAATGATGCACGTTTTTGGGCAAGCCATGGAAAAGGCGCCTAGTTGTTCGCTGGCTTACTTTCCATTATTTTAGCTCATGCTTTTTGCTCATCCTCGTATGTCATTGAACAAAGCAGACGTGTGATATGAAAGCGAGGGTGATAGGGTTAACACCCATCACAGAAATTGTCGGTCAATACTTAAGTCTTAAAGACCCGTTTACACTAATGATGTTATTTTTAATCAACCAAAGCAGGTGTGAAGATCGCTTTTTCACTGCGGGGCAGTGGCGTACGCAGAATTTATTCAAAAGGGGTCGTGTGCTCTTCGTAACGACGCTTTTGTGAGTCCCAAACGAACGGATGGTCTTCCAGGTGTCACTCGACCATAAATTGTTTGCCACAGGCGCGAAATTTCGGCACTTTGATGTTCTCGGATGCCAAATTGTGCCTATTTTGCGTCCATTACAGACACTCTACACAACCAAGCTTGACCATTTGTGGGGGAAACACAGGATATCATGCGCCCATGAACCAAAGCGTGCCATGAAAACCCAGTTTTTTGTTAATAGTTACGAACTGTGAGATATCAGGAGGCTGTCAATTTCACTGAAATACTTCTTAATTCGTCATCGTTTTTAAAAAAAAAACCTGTCTTACATAACACATTTTGATTGGTTAAAAATAGTGTCAATAGAAAGATAAAGATATTGTCGTAGAAAACATGTAAGATTGCAATGGAGACGATATGTATATATATCTATATCTAAAAAAAACGAACTAAGCAGTGCTAGAGTGGAAAATTTATTTTTAAAAAACCGTAAAGCTCAGCTTTGAAGCAGATTGTTTCACCTAACCTGGCGAAGGTGACCAAATTTATCCGTCCACATGGGCAGGTCCAAAGTACAAATTGACAACGAAAATTTACTTGTGTTTATAGGGCTTAATACTCCACTTCCACTTGTGAACAAAAGGATCTCGGAGTTCTAAATTGGAAAACCAATTAACAAAGTTTTATTAGAAGGAAAAATCGACATGTATTAGATCACAATAACATACTGTTAGAGAAGGAGTTGAATTCTGTCGGGTCGATATAAGGCCTCTAGTGATAGAGTTTAATTTTCTAGTTAGACATCACAGTTTCTCACAGCTCTTAACTGGATTATAGGTTCTTAGTGGAAAGTTAGATCTGTTGGTAAAAGTAGAACATATAGGAAGTTTGAAATAGACGTAAGTACCGCTCTGTACAGAGTATAACACATTCTTTGTTTTTTGGGAGTTTCTACAGAGTCTTCATGTTTGGGGAATTTCAACAGAGTTCTAAAATAGATTAAGGTAGGGTAGAACAGATCCAAACTTTGCCGCTCTGCAAACAAATTTACAGAATATAGTAAGGGCTTCTACAGTGTTCTTAAACAGTTTATAGGTTCTTGGTGGGAACAGACCTTGTAAGTCAGAGCGAGATGGTAAATGTAAAACAGATCGTACTTTACAATAGACTTAAGTGTCGCGTCCTGAAAACTATTAGCAAAATGGTAAACGGATGAGGAAAATCTCCTTTATAGACGTACTAGAAGCTCTGTACAGAATTTTAGAAGCTCTGTACAGAGTTGCAAAGTCCTCGTAAGGTGCTTTTATAGAGGTCGCAAACGCAGGAAAAAATCTGACGTAAGAGAAGCTCTGTACATAGCCCTCATAAGGAGTTCGTAAACGGGTGATGACTTCTACGTTAGATGTTCGGGAAGCTATGTACAGAATTATAATGTGTTAGATATTGCAGAGTTTTTACATAGTTGATATATGACAAAACAAATTAAGACGTTAGACTTAAATAAACGTGTTGGAAATTTTATTGAATTTATATTAATGTTTAATAGGAATCTCGGAAAAATTCACACATGTATGAAATTAGACGAGAAACATGGACTTTTGATAGTCTGATAGGGGAGTATGAGGCCATCACGAATCTTAATATCTTTTGATCGTTGCTGTGGTTTATCATTCCGGTAGACCTAATTATGGCTGTGTTTTTTTTTACATGGCTTCCAATGAATAATGATCTCATGGCGTTAATTTGGAGAATACGCATAGTTGATGATTTGGTTTGGTTTGTTAACTCAGCATCCCTTTTGAAAAATCCACACTGTTTACATTGTTATTTTGGTATTTTGCTTTTCTCAACCAGACATTCCTTCCAGAGAGTCTTCGAAATGAATGGAGTTTTACGTCCTACTTTTCTGCACCATGTGGGCTAATGAAGACGGGCAACGCCTTGCAGGGTGCAATGAGGGACATTTTGCCAGGACAGCGGCATTAACCTGCTCATTTTCGATTTCTAACTGTCGAGAGATCTTTAACGTGCACAGCCTGTAGCACACGGGGCCTCGGTTGATTGTCCCATCCGAACGACTAGACGCTTTTTCCATGTCAGCCCCTCGTACCTGCATCACTGACAGGGGGAAACCGGGTTGAAACATCCGAAGGAATTATCTCGACCTATGCCGGGATCGAACCCTGGACCTTCAGGTTAGCAAGCAAGCGTCTAACTCACTGAGCCACCGCGACTCCCCCCAAAAATATCAATCATGTTATATATTATGGTATTGAGGTTTGTCAACTCAACTTCTGTGTGTATTTCTATTTCATTTCAACATTTTCTTATCCTTTTATATAACAAACTCTACAGATTATTTGACATATGATAAGAAATCAATCTAATTCTATATAAATCCCTTTATAACTCACAGTTCGTGTTCAGATCAGGTTTTTAAAGTTCAAATAGCGTTTGATTGTACAATATAAAATGGTAAAGTTTGTGATATTATTATCATAGACGAGCCATGCATACGAAAATATGTAAGATCTGTCTGTATATTGTGATAACTGTCATGTGATATCTATGTGCATTTGGTGATATCTGTGTGTATATTTAGATATCGGTGTGTATTTGGTGATATCTGTGTGTATATTAAGATATCAGTGTGTATTTGGTGATAACTGTTTGTGTTTTGTGATATCTATGTGCATTTTGTGATATCTGTGTGTATATTTAGATATCGGTGTGTATTTCGTAATATCTGTGTGTATATTTAGATATCAGTGTGTATTTGGTGATATCTGTGTGTATATTAAGATATCAGTGTGTATTTGGTGATAACTGTTTGTGTTTTGTGATATCTATGTGCATTTTGTGATATCTGTGTGTATATTTAGATATCGGCGTGTATTTCGTAATATCTGTGTGTATATTTAGATATCAGTGTATATTTGGTGATATCTGTGTGTATATTTAGATATCAGTGTGTATTTGATGATATATGTGTGTATATTAAGATATCGGTGTGTATTTGGTGATATCTGTGTGTATATTAAGATATCGGTATGTATTTCGTGATATCTGTGTGTATATTTAGATATCGATGTGTATGTGGTGATATATGTGTGTATTTTAAGATATCAGTGTGTATTTCGTGATATCTGTGTGTATATTAAGATATCGGTGTGTATTTCGTGATATATGTGTGTATATTTAGATATCGGTGTGTATTTGGTGATATCTGTGTGTATATTAAGATATCAATGTGTATTTGGTGATATCTGTGTGTATATTCAGATATCGGTGTGCATTTGGTGATATCTGTGTGTATATTAATTTATCGGTGTGTATTTCGTGATATCTGTGTGTATATTTAGATATCGGTGTGTATTTGGTGATATATGTGTGTATATTAAGATATCGGTGTGTATTTTGTGATATATGTGTGTATTTGGTGATATATGTGTGTATATTAAGATATCTGTGTGTATTTTGTGATATATGTCTGTATATTTAGATATCAGTGTGTATTTGGTGATGTCTGTGTGTATATTTAGATGTCTGTGTGTATATTAAGATATCAGTGTGTATTTGGTGATATCTGTGTGTATATTTAGATATCGGTGTGTATTTCGTGATATCCGTTTGTATATTTAGATATCAGTGTATATTTAGATATCTGTGTGTATATTTAGATATCTGTGTGTATTTTGTGATATCAGTGTGTATATTTAGATATCGGTGTGTATTTTGTGATATATGTGTGTATATTTAGATATCAGTGTGTATTTGGTGATATCTGTGTGTATATTTAGATATCGGTGTGTATTTGGAGATATCTGTGTGTATATTTAGATATCGGTGTGTATTTGGAGATATCTGTGTGTATATTTAGATATCAGTGTGTATTTGGTGATATATGTGTGTATATTAAGATATCGGTGTGTATTTCGTGATATCTGTGTGTATATTAAGCTATCAGTGTGTATTTGGTGATATCTGTGTGTATATTAAGCTATCAGTGTGTATTTGGTGATATATGTGTGTATATTTAGATATCGTTGTGTATTTCGTGATATCTGTGTGTATATTTAGATATTGGTGTGTATTTGGAGATATCTGTGTGTATATTAAGATATCGGTGTGTATTTGGTGATATCAGTGTGTATATTTAGATATCAGTGTGTATTTGGTGATATATGTGTGTATATTGAGATATCAGTGTGTATTTCGTGATATCGGTGTGTATATTTAGATTTCGGTGTGTATTTCGTGATATCTGTGTGTATTTCGTGATATCTGTGTGTATATTTAGATATCGGTGTGTATTTTGTTATATCTGTGTGTATATTTAGATATCGGCGTGTATTTGGAGATATCTGTATGCATATTAAGATATCAGTGTGTATTTGGAGATATCTGTGTGTATATTAAGATATCGGTGTGTATTTGGTAATATATTGATGTATATTGCGACATCTTTGTGCAATTGTGATATCTTTGTGGATATTGTGATAGCTCTTTGTGTATTGTGAGATCTTTGCATATATGGTATATATTTTGACATCCTTCTGTTGTTCTGACATCTTTTCGTATATGATATCTTTGATCTTTGTGTGTATTGTGATATCTTTGTGTATATTGTGACATCCTTCTGTTGTTCTGATATCTTGGTATATATTGTGATATATTTGTGTATATTTTCTTTGTGTATCTTACATACCGGTATATATCTTTGATATACTATGATGTCTTTGTTTTGTGGATCTTTGTGTATATTGTGATATCTGCGTAAATATTGTAATATCTTCGTCGATATGTAAAATATCTATGTGTAGGCCTGTATTGTGATGTTGTATATATTGTGATATTTTTATTTTTTTGTTTTTTGTTATGACATTCTGATATCTACTATATATTTCATGTATGTTTTTTGTCTTGGTATATTGAGATATTTTGTATATACATTGTATTTTTGTATATTTGTGATGTCTTAATGTATTGCAATATCTTTGTCTGTCGATATAATTTTTTAAGTTGTGATAAATATTACTTGGAATCATGTCACTTTGATCTGAAATGCATACGTAAGTCTTCGTAGACTCGCTTATCAAGGTCATCTACTTTCCCCCCAAGGTAATATTAGATTTAAGTAGTCTAGATGCCTGATTGATTGGGTCTAATTATTCCAACAGTTGTTTCTGTCTTGATCAATTTACTCAATATCCAGTTCGTTTTCAGGCCCACTTTACACTATCTAAATAAACCTTGACTAGTCCAGTTTAAATCATGCTTTACACTGCTCAACTCCAGATAAGCCAACGCTGCTTACAGCTGCAGTTGGTGCAGTCGTCCACTTTTTGCTTATGCTTAGGTGCTGTGGGAATTTTCCCAAAGGGCAAGGAAAATTCTGATTCCACGGCCAGTGTTTTCTCCTAGCTATTCTTAATTATCATTTCTCTTTTTAGGGTGGCACTAAGATCGGCAGAACTTTAACTTCATGAGTATAGCTGATTACTCAGGATAGTACAAGAGGTAGTACTTTAGGATTACTCGACATCGCTACCAATTTTAAATTTGGTTTTTTGATAGATGGATGCTTGCAGCGACTAATCCATGTAAAACTTAAGTGATTGTTCAAACAAACAAAAAATGGAATCGTGAAAGTGTTGAGGACTTGGAATTTTGCAAAGCAACAACTTTTTCGTGAGCCAAAATACTGAAATGTTCATTCCTTAGAAGAAAAAATTAAGGGTGAGAATGAACGGGTATATTTATGTTCATGGTGGACAACAAGATATTATATAATATATATAAATGTATATATGTTTATAAAGTTACCGAGTTGATGACGTCAGTGTAACCACAGAGATACCAAGTAGGTAGAATCATAATTTGAAAAGTTGATAAATAATAAAAAAAACAAATTAAAAAAAAAGGGTTATCGCAAGATTTTTATTACAAAATATCATCTATGATATATCATCTATTATTTATAGGTTTGATAATAACTAGGTAGGCGTAATCGAAATTTTAAATTGTGTTAGTCTATTGCAAATGTACGGAAGCGTATTAGGGCCATTCATTTTTTTTTTTTGAATTTTCAAGTTAGTATATTGAATTTCAAGTTAGTATGTTGATTTTTCAAGTTAGTATGTTGAATTTTCAAGCTAATATGTTGAATTTTCAAGTTAGTATTTTCAAGTTAGTATGTTGAATTTTCAAGTTAGTAACTTGAATTTTCAAGTTAGTATATTGAATTTTCAAGTTAGTATCTTGAATTTTCAAGTTAGTATCTTGAATTTTCAAGCTAGTATGTTGAAATTCAAGTTAGTGTATTGAATTTTCAAGTTAGTATGTTGAATTTTTAAGTTAGTATGTTGAATTTTCAAGTTACTAACTTGAATTTTCAAATTTTACTAACTTGAACAAAAAAAAAACTTAATGGCCCTTATAGGCTTCCGTACAAATGTATTACCCGGCAACTGAGAATTGGAAAACGGTAATAGCAATAGGTTAATATAAGATAATATGGCCCATTCAAACAATTGTTATAACAAATAGGTTATTTCAATAATTGTAAATGGTAATGGAAAAATGATAATTTTATAATAAAAAAATCCAAAATGGGCCTATCCGCAAAATTATATTTTCAAACTATTTATTGTTAAAGCTGAAAATTAAAGTGATATTACGTCTAAGAATGAACATAAAATTAAATTCTCAAGAATGGTCAATAGGAGTATATATTCATCAGTGAACTTACCTGGTGTCATAAAGTTACAACAGAATCCCTGTCAAGTCTTGAAAATTTGAAAATTGATAAAACTAAGTAATTATTGAAAAACTCTTAATCATAATATCAAGCATAGTAAATTGCATTTTTATTAAGTTTTTTGGAATTATCCGATTATTAAAAATTCAAGTTACTAACTTGAAAATTCAACATACTAATTTGAAAATTAAAAAAAAAAAAATTGAATGGCCCTAATGCGCTTCCGTAAATTGAATGGCCCTAATACGCTTCCATAGATTATATAAGGACCCTGTTATGTTATTTATGACACCAGGTATATCTACCAATGAATATATGCTCTGATTGGCCAAGTTAAAAATACGTAGACGTAGTATCCCTTTAAAAATCGTAATTGCAATTTGGTTGTTACACAAAACTGATCACCGCAAATTATTTATTACAAATTAGTTATTATAAAAAATTGATAGCACTGTTAGCATTAATTTGCACCATTCGAATTTTCAATCAGACGTCTGTTGCTCCTGCAATTCCACAAAAAAATAAATGTTTAATGACGTCACAAATCGCAAAATATGCTTGTATCACATAAGACCCTCCGCTATTAGTGACGTCATCAAACACTTAGTTTTAGCGAAATTGCAGGAACCAGTATGAATTAGAAAATGCTTATTGATTATTTCCAGAATAAATTCTTTCTAAATTAGTTATGACCGAAATATGACATGATAATTCAAAAATCGTGATGAAAGATGATGATAAAACTGTAATTAGATGACGTAGACAATTTTTTGAAATCCTACACTAATAATTGATTATGTGTTGATATTTGAAAGGATTCGAACTCACATAAACTATCAGACAGTTTATCTCGTCACCGGTGAACAGATGATTTGAACAATACGACATTTGAAGCTTTCTTTCATTAGTTAGTTAAAGATGGGTTCCCTTATTTTCATTTATGAAAATGAAAATGCTAATACTTATATGAATAGAAAGTAGAGGTGTTCTAATGACCTAGAAAAATACCAGTTTGTCTCACATGTCCATAATTAATTCATAATTAGCTAAATTAGAAGAGAAATAACAGCAAAATTTCATTGAGTGACCGATCAAGAAAGGTCAAAAAGTCTTTTTTTGTTTATCCAGATTGTACATTCATGGATATTCATGATTGGTTAAAACTCTTAATCATAATGATATGATTAAGAATACATGAAAATTCATTAGAAACACCAATTAATCTAATAGTTTGCCAAATTCGACACTAGAAAATAAGGGAACCCATCTTTAAGAGGACATTCAAGACTAAAATTGCATTTATGAAGAATATGCCTCTTCTTAGGACAACAAAGTTCAATGTCAATGAATTAGATAGTTATAAATAAGTATTCTTTTTGAGATTCTGACTTCTGATTTTTGGATCGAGATTTGGGAGATGTTCATTGTGGTTTAATGGGTGGAATTTATCAAAGATTCTGAAAGTCCAGAACTTATAACTGTTGGTTATTCGTCATTTTCTTCGGATTTTTTTATTCAAATATTTTGATAAAAGTGATTATATAGACCTGACCTTAAAATGGCTCAGACATCGCTAAGTATGGCTTCAAGGCATTGAAATGGAAACATCGAACTCTATATTTGGATAGAAAAAAGAGAACGACGCAAAACTCTGCTATATGTCATTATATAGTTTCAATTATTATAGTTGTTTTATTCTCGAATACTTAACTTAAGGTTTTAGGTTAAGCATTAAAATCAAATTACTGTATTTCTGAAAATCTTGATTTTATCATATGACAGAAAAATGGGAAGTATAACTTTATTTATTTCATTTCAGGAGCAGGAAGATTGCGATGCGAAACTCCATTTCATTTCATTAGCAGAAAAAAACTGTTTCAGTTCTCGACCCAGCACTTGTGGATAAATATTGTTACAGTTAGTTGAAAAATAGAACTCTAGAAGTTTTTCTTGTGCCGGAAATGTTTTGATGTAATCTCAATCATGTTGTGTTATTCAACACCGACACAATACGATGTCGACCATGCGACCACTGAAAAACGCAGACAGTCGGACCGGAAGTCCATATATAGACAAGACAGTGAGACCGGAAGTGTCATAAAAGAAACCGGAAGTGTTCTAATCAAACAAACAGACGGACGTTACCTCGAACAACCAGTTCCATTACGACCTGGAAACCATATCGGCCTGGCCGTTGTCGGATTAATCTGCTTTAATCCACCGTTTGGGATTATCGCTGTTATACTATCAATCAAATCTAATCGAGACTATCTAGAGGGCAGATACAATGCGTCTCGATTTAAAGGAAAAGCGTCCATGGTTGTAAGTATAGTTGGAATCAGTTTAACAATTTTGACTTTACTGCTCTTGTTCATTTGGCCGTTGACGACTGCGTACGGAAAGACTTGAGCATGTCCGTTCTGCGTGTCCGTTTTATCATCGTCCCTTCCAGTATTGTGATGTGCACCGCCAATCCAGATCACCATTATGGCCAATTATTAAGTATTGTTGGTTAAGTGTGAATCGAAATGTTATGGAAAATACATTCCCTGGTCTTTTTGCACCGATTTAACCAATATTATTGTGCGCATTTGTGTTAAAGAATATCTGAAAGTTACGGAAAATACACTTTCAAATGTGGTTCGTAAATAAGACCCGTTTCTGGAAATGTGTAATTTGAA